CCCTCCCAGCATCACCCTGTCCCCCTCCCACTGACACCTCCCCTCCTGCCTTTTTCCTCATTGTCTGCACTTGGCCCCCTGGCATTTGTCTCTCCTCCATCCCTGTCCCTTGGTGCCTTCCTCTTCCCCCTCTCCCTTCCCCCTCCGCACAAGCACCTTCCTGTCCCAGCCCTTCCCTTTTCCCTCTGCACAAGCCCCTTCCCTCCCTTTCCCTTTCCCTCTCCCGTACCTTCTGCCTTCCACTTTGCCGGGATGGAGTCTGTACTCTGTCCCTGGACTCCGAACCCGCAACTCAGCCATGCGGCGCAACACAGTGCCCAACAGGTTTAAAATCCCGGGCCGTGACGTTACGTCACGTCCGGGTATCTCCCCACCCACTGGTTTGAGCGCGCTGTGCAGGGCAGCAGCAGCCAGCAAGTGGGAGCTCAGAGAAGGTTGCGCATGGCAGGGACGGGACCGGGATGGGGATGGGGGAGAGACGCTCTGGGGCCAGGATGGGAGGATGCGCGGGAGGGGGTTGTTGGGACCCGTTCCAGCTCCAAATATTGCTGGAGCATGGGCACCACGAGCCCACACAACTTGCCACCCATGCCTCTGCTGGCTAGCCAGCTCTCTCTCTCTTTTTCAGAGGGGGCGGGGGAGTGCTGGCTCCTCGCGGAACCCCTAGTTTTGCTCCACGGATCCCCAGGTTTCTGTGGAGCACCAATTGGGAAACACTGTCTTACCATAAAATGTTAAAGGTCTGGATGTTCCTGGAGTGGGATAGCATCTCATTAAATCATACACAAAAGAGACACAATCACTAGGCAGGTGAAAGGGATGAGCAGGGGATAGACCCCTCTATCCAGGATTTCCTCAGCCCCGAGCCTCCTACACACTCACCCCTAGGTGCCCTTTAAGGAGGGCTGAAGTTCCCCTCCCCCTGATTCTTATGGGATCATTGTTGGTTGCTCTCTTTCGTCAGGGAGGGAGGGGAAAGTGCACAGTTTGCTGCATTCCTCACTCTGGCGGGGGAGCATAGTAGTTGAATCTGAACTTGCCTCAGGTGGGGGACATGCACCCCTCCCCCAGCTGTGCCTGCTCGAGCTGCAGCTCCCACAAAGAGACGTTTCTCACTTAGCCCCAAGCTGCTGCAGTGAGAGAGGGCTGGGGTAGTCCTCTCTCCCCAGGTAAGTCTGCATAAAGAACCCCTCATCCTCAGTCCCACCCTAGAGCAATTATTTAAATGAAGCATGTACATTTTTATTTTATTTTCTAAAAAGCAAACACGACTTGAGTTAAGGATCCTAGCAATGTTGGGTATGTCTTTTGGTGCATTATATAATACAATTTTTATTTTTGAGGTGAATAGAGATACCAGAAGGATAGTCTAAAATGAAATGATAATCAAGGACCTAAACTTGCATAAATTTCAGTTGGGCAACTTATGTGAGAAGGAAAGGTTTACAGGGAAATGTCTGAAGTTTCATACACTGACAAACATTGTGCAGATTTGCAGATAAACTAAGAATATCTCAAGCAGGCATCTCTGCATGTGATTATTGCCAATACTCCTAAAACTACAAGTCTCAAGTCACAATAAAGAAAATAAGTTTATTACATTGATCTGATGGCTGAACTGATTTTTACTCTGGTTAAAGCTTTTGTAAATGAACATAACTCATTCATTATTTACAACATTTCATACAAATCATTCCCAAATTATTTCAGTTCATGGTTACAGAAACAACATTTATGACTAGTACAAACTAGAGGCGCTGAGCATTTTCAGATCAGCGGTGCTTTATATTACATAAATCAGTGGCACATTTCTGGTTTCATATTTTATGTGTAAACTCACCCCATCGTGTTTGATATCTCCTTCAAAAAGATTCAGTCCTAAAGCTAAAAAGTAACAACTGATTAACATTCAAACATTGTATTGATCTCTTACTATTACAATGAAACTTTCAAAAGATACAAAGAATATTTTTTTAAATCCACCTTCATTGATGTCCAAAATATCTTGATCAATTCCCCCATCTACATCTACTTCTGAAAAACAAAAAGCAAGTGAGATAGGACATTAATCTTTGCTATTATCTTTATGAAGTATGAAAATTAATGCAATAAGATAACCGACACTGGTGTGTTTATGTGCAGCTGTTTTTGTTAGCTGCCTTCAGCACACTCATATAGAACTCTGAACAGAACTCACCCAATGACTCTGGAGTAGGCTAGCGAGGAGGGAAAAAAGAGAGAGAGAAATTAAAAGGGTGCGCAAAATGAAATGTTACTAACATTATTCTTTTAAAAACATTAGAGATCCATCTTGAGCTCAACTAACAGCATTTATTGCTGGCCATTTTCAGTGTATTTTAGCAAGCTAGGATTAGGTTGTAGTAGGAACCTGCATTTTGTGTTCTGCAATCTGTTCCTATTTGTGTATGTCTGTTTATGTGTGTGCTTGCACTCAGATGTTCCCCAGACTGAAGAAAGGGAGAACCCTTCTCAAATTTGTACTACCCCTGTTTAGATTGCAGAACATAAAATGCATCATGAAGCAAACCACTTCATACATTTCAAATAATACTTTTTGATCTCATGCTCCACTGACTTCACTGGGCTATTGTAAGTGAGATCAGAATGAGGGCCTTAGATGAAAGGATAATCATATAGTCATGAATGTAGGAATACGGAGTAGATAAAACAAGTCATCTTGTCCAGCCCAATCTTGCCAGATTCTATAATGTCAATAGCCCTCCATTATGTAGTAAAGTTTTATGGCACTGATGTCCTACCATCACATTGATCTACCTTTTAAAAAATCCATAGTCCAATATCTAACAGACACACATGGGAAAGATATCAAATAATTTCACAGACTTCATCTACTTTTGAAGAATCTGATCCTGCATACACTTACTCACACAGGTAGCCCTCACTTACCTGGATAACAAAGTCCATTGAAATCAGTAGGGCTACGTCAACACAGTGGAACTATTTCAGGATACCTCTGGTCTTAAGAGCCAGCCCATTATATTGAAATATAACAGCCTCACTATTCCGACATCCCTCAGCCTAAGGTCCCAGCTCAAAGCTGCCCAATTCATTTGAAGCTTGACACTGGAATAAGGGACTTTTTGGAATAGTGCCTTATTTTGAAGTAAGGGTGCTGTGTAGATTCACCCTAAATGACTATCTAATGTTCTTCAGTGCACTTTGGTTCTGGCTCTTAGGCGGCCAAATCAGAGAAATTTCACTGAGAAAAGTAAATATGTGCAAGGTGAGGCTGAACATAAATAAATTTAATTTTAAAAAATCCTGACTAATAGGAAGTGTTCCAAATATTGATTTAAAGACCAAAGACTGACAATGAAAGTGTAATTTGTAATTGGACAGATTACACAGGAGCCAATTTATTTCCAAACAGCAAAAAGTCTCATGCTTCCAAATCGTTACCATTAATGGAATTAATTAATAATTTCCCTGATAGTTTAGTATGAATACAATTAATCCCGATGGATTTAACTAATTAGTGTTTTCACTTTCATGATGGTTTATCCAAAAATTGAAATAATGCTTTCTATAAGCATATTTTTAAGCTGCTGAAAACCTTTCATTAATGGCACTAAAAGTAAAGCATTTTTGAGATCTCTATGATTATAATGACAATGCCTTAGGACTTCAAAATCCATCATGCAAACAACACATCCAGCAGAAAGCTATTTTTTTCAGTACATGGGAAAGATTTTCCAATGGCATCAAAATGTTCATAAGTAGAAACATGAAACAATTTAAGTGATTCCCACATATTTACTCCTAGTGAATAAGAGAAAGCGTGAATGGGAAACTATTCAAATACTCAATTATTTCCTATTCTTCATGTAATTAGTTCAAATCCAGCCCAGGTCAGCAGTGACTGAAAACGGTCACCAACTAATGGCTTCATTGTCGAAGTTGGTGATTTTCTGCTAGATAAGAACTAATAGTTACTCATATGTAGCACTGGACTCCAACAAATCCCAGTGAAATTACCTACTTTAGTGGGGACACTTGTGTGAATAAAGATTACTCAGGGGCTCACCAGCTGCATGATCTGAACCCAAGTGTTCAAAGCCTCAAAGCAAACACAATTGACACAACTTACCAGAATGCCAATTCCTAGTCATTTATGCATAGCAATAACGTTGTATGTTTATAACAAATTCACAAGTAAAAATAACTGTGTGCGCTGCTACCTGACATACTGACCTCCGGTATCCTGAAATAGCTATTCTGTGTCTTTTGAGCATGCCTGTTATTTCAAAATATAACGGGCTTGCTATTCTGTCGTCCCTGTAAATCTCATTCCACGAGAAGTAAGGGATGTTTCAGAATAGCGATTTATTTTGAAGTAAGTGCTATGTAGACAGTGCCAAATTTTGAAATAAGCGTTTTTGAAATTTGTGTTGCTCAAATTGTGTATCTTATTTTGACCTGTATTGCAGTGTTGATGCACCCTAAGGGTCTCTCAAAGAGAAATACATTTAATTCACTGAACTACTATTTAAAATCTAAATTAAAGACATTTCCTCTTTTCTGAATAACTTACTGTTTGTGATTTATTTATCCTAACTTTGGGGAACACTTTGGCTACAACTACACCACAGTGGGGATTGATAATGAAAGATCGATACACCAGCGGTCAATTTAATGGGGCTAGGAAAAACCTGCTAAATCAACCACAGATTACTCTCTAGTCAACCCCATTACACTCCCCCAGACAAGAAGAGTAAGATAAGTCAACAGGAGAGTTTCTCCCAATGACACTCCTCAGTGTAGACCATGCAGCAACTTAACCAAAGGTACATCAACTCCTGCTATATTATTAATGTAGCTTGAGATGCGTATGTTAGGTCATCTTTCTGTTGTTGTGTATACATAGGCTCAGAGGTATGTGAATGATGTTATAGACTTTAAAATGTAAGGTGGCCAGATTCTGCCACTTTAATTCATATTATGTAATACATTGCTCCATGCATTGCCCCACTGATACTGATGTGAGATAAAGTACAATTTCCTGACAAAGTAAAAACTGTGTAATCAATCTTCACTTCACTTCCATCCGTCAAGTATTTCTCAGACTATTTTGTGTTCCAAATTCTTCTAAATCTCACTGGGTCTTATTCACAGAAATGGGAAAATATTGCATTTAAAAACATATATAAGGTAATATACAATTTCAAAGTTGGTATTTTTATGTTGTTGTCACAAAATAGTTCACCACAGGATGAGAAACATGCTGGTGCAGCCAAAGATAAATATGCCCAGTTTGAATAAGAGCATTAATTTCAGTGCCATATTAATTACATTAAATAAAATACTTGATATCACTATTTGTATTCAAAACAGTAAAAAAGGTTTTACCACTTACCATGTCTTCAATGCTAGACTATGTATTCAACCAAAACTGCTATAAAAAAATCAGTGAGAGTCCTGCCTGAGTCAAGAGTGAAGGATCATGCCTTCCAGATACAGGGCTAGATTATAAGCAGCAGCAATAAGAAATCTACTCACACCACATCTTTATTTATCAGAGGATTGATGCTCTGGCGCTTGATCTTCCAGGGTTCCATTTAATGAATCTAGTAAAGACCCACTAAATCAAATGCTGAGAGCACCCCATCAGCACCACTACTCCTCACAACGTGGGAGCATTTCTTCTGTCGACCTCCTGCTGTCGACCTCCCAGTGCCAAGCTCAGCTTAAGGTACATTGACTCCAGCTATGTTATTTACATGGCTGGAGTTGTGTCCCTTAAGTCGACCTCCGGGTATAGTGCAGACCTGGCCTCAGAAAACAAAATGTTTTGTTCTGCCTCAATTTTTTTTAAACAATTTTTTAACAGAGAAACCCTTATATGCAGGAACTATATGAAGCAGTTTATCTTTTTTCACAAGCTTGTTATGACCTATATTATACTTCAAAATGTAAAAATGATTTTTTTTTCTTACCAGACCACAGCCAACCTGAAGAAGAGACCACATCAGGAGCATAGGCACAGACAACATGTTGCTTTATTCCGTGAAAGGCTATGGACTCTCTAACAGAGGAAGTATATTTAATATTTCAGGAACTTTGCCCTGGTATATAAGTCAAGCTGTTTTATATCTTAAATCATCCAATCAGTAAAGTCTATTTCTTTTAGAAAATTTGCTAACACCTGTAAACCATACACATCTGTGGCCCTTGCCCTCATTGTCAATCTCTGAGGGAGGTGACGCCCCTTTGAGATAGCTGCGTCTGAAACCAACTAGATAAACAGAGGGCAATTAGCAACTTAGATTGCTCAGGCATGTGGGTTGTGTACCCACAAACAGTCTAGGGGGTCCTCCAACATGGGGAGGGAAGTTGAATACCTGCAAGAGTATGGTGCTGTGGAATCAGGGTTGGACATTCAGCAGGTCTTTGAGCTTATGGAGGGAGATTACTGCCACCCAGAGATGGAGTAGCAGGTGGGACACAAGCTCGCCCACCTCCACCACATCCCAGCCCAGGGACCTATTGGTGGCAGCATGGTTGGCCACTGGGTCAATGGAGATTCCACTGCAACATGCTGACAGTCTCTAGGGACATGCCAGCCAAAGGGTAGTCCAGTTTCCCTGAGCTATTTCCAGAACTCCCCCTTGTTTGTACCTGCATCCACAGGCCATCTTCTGTCTCCCCTGGATACACAGTGAGTGGAAATCCCAACATCTTCCTCATCAAGCACATCTCACAGTCCTGGTACCAGAGTGGTTTCCTTGGATGGCTGAAGTCCTCCATGGTTTCCAGCTCCCATAACAGGTTGGCAGCTTGTGGCCAGTCTATCACTCCACGAGGGGCTGCTGCAGTCTCCCAAATCAGGAGCAGATGGAAGGTATCTGGCTCCTCCTGCAGCTATTGCCCACTCTAACTGCAGGGCTCACCTCTTATACTTCCTGTTCCTATTTTGAACTTGCCCTTCTGCTTCTGGTGAGGCAGGTGAGTCCTTCCAGTACCTCCCACCCAGGGGCATCTGACTGTCCTCCGCTGAAAGTCTCTGATCAAGGCCATGCCCTTTTGCAACAACCCCATTCATGTGTTCATTAAGATCATTAATGTATATTTTGCAAGTAACTTTTCTTGTAAAAAAATAAGAGTAATATATGTAGCACTTAACTTTGGAAACTAATCACAAAACTCTTGTAAAGCAGGGAGAATTGTATTAATAAACCTATTTTACTGAGAGGGAAACAGGGAGAAAGTTTGTGACTTTCCTAAGGCCACATAGGAAGCCTGTGTAAGAACCAATACTAGCATTTTAGACCCCACTTCTCTTGACTAGTATTTCTCAAAGTGGTCTGCGGACCTACTCTGAGAGAGCTGCTACAGGGTTGCTCTAGTTTGTTTACTACATGTCTGCCATCTCTGTGAAAAGCATGGATCCTACACTGCTCTTCAATATTTCATGGAGCATTACGAACAAAATGTGCCTGAGCCTGCAATACTTCCCGAGTTGCAAGACAGTGCGCTGTGGAAAGAAACAATTCAGGTTTGCTGTTAGCATTCACTGAGCAGCTGCACAGGGTTCTTGACCTGAGAGACAAGAATGAACAGGTGGGATCACATCGCTATGCAGGTATGGAATGATGAACAGTGGCTATGGTACATTCAGATATGCAAGGGCACACTCCTAGAACTGTATGTGGAGCTCAACCAAGCCTGCCAGTGCAGCTACTCCAAAATGAAACCTGCACTCACAATGGAGAAGTGTGTGGTGATCTCTGTGTGGGAGCTGGCAATGCCAGATTGCTACCAATTAGTCTGGAATCTATTTGGAGCATGGGCAGCTGGTAATGTAGGCAAGGGAGGGCATTGCCATCCCCAAATTGCCTACACTGCCCAGCCACCTGGGAGGGGCTGAGACCACGCTGTGTGGCAGCTCAACTTCCCGGTGACCAGGGAAGGCTGGGGCTGTGCCATGTGGCAGCTCCGGCCCTCAGCTGGGATTGGGCAGGGTTTGGCGGGGGATGGAGGGAAAGGCTGCAAAGGGGCATGGCCCCAGGGAAAGGGTGTGGCTTTGGGCGGAAGACACAGGGCTTTGGCTGCCTTCCCCAGCTGAGCCTTCACCAGCTGCCCATGATTTGGAGATGGTAATTCCCCTATGGGAGTTGCTTTGATGGAAATGTGAGGGGCCATTAATCACATTCAGTTATAAAGGACTGATTCTGGGCAATATGTGGGTAACAGTGGATGGTTCTGCTGCAATGCAGTTCCTGAACTGTGGAGGGGTGATAGATGGCATGCATATCCCTGTTTTAGCATCAGGCCACCTTGCAATGAAGTACATCAATAGAAAAGGATATTTTTCTATGGTGTTACAAACAACGGGGTTGCAAGCAATGAATCGCTAGAGTTGTGTCACTGATATCACGTATATGGTGTTACAAACAACGGGGTTGCAAGCAATGAAACGCTAGAGTTGTGTCACTGATATCAGTGTGGACTGGCCAAGGAAGGTGCATGACGTATGCATCTTTGGGAGCATAGGCCTGTAGAGAATATACACGCAGGGACTTTCTTTCCAGATAAGAGAACTACATTAGAGATGTTGAAATCCCAACAGTGATCCCTTGCTAGCTTTTACTCCTATGGCTCATGAAGCCATATACTGGCCACCTCAACAGCATCATAGAGTGCTGCAACAACAGACTCAGTAGACACATAGTAACTGTTGAATATGCCTTTGGCCATTTTTGAAGGGTTGCTGGTACTGTCTATTCATGATATTAGACCTCAGCGAAGAAAATATCCCCCCAGTCACAGTTGCCTGCTGTGCACTTCACAATATCTGTGAAGAAAAGGGGGAGAAGTTTCTGTAAGGCTGGAGTGCGGAGGTGGATAGGCTGTCTGCTGATTTTGTGCGGCCAGATGCCAGGGCTATAAGAAAAGCTCAGCTGGGAACTTTTCAGCTCAGGGGGGCTTTTAAAGAGCATTTTAACAATGAGCCACATGTGTTGCTGTGGTATACTGGGCCTAGATATATTTTTTTTTACAATGTGCTATGAACCTTGTAATGAGTGCTATATGCGTGCTAATATAACAAAGCAAATGCAACTATTGCTGTTATTGTTGGATATTAGCCACAATCACCATATGTTGGAGACTAATAAAGATTAATTAAGTTTCCATAAATAGAATCCACACTCATGCAAACATAGCTACTTGAAGCTTATTTGCTTGGATTTCAGCAGTGGACCTCTGGCTTCAGCTTTCTGCCCTGCACTCCAGTGAGTCTAATGCTGATTCTGCTTGGCACCCCCCCTAAAACTTGTTTGCAGCCCTTGAGGGGGGTCTGGCTCCCCATTGAGAACTGCTGGCCTAGAGAACAGCAGTGGTCCCATCCATGAATATAGCTGGAGAAGTGGGTGTTAGTGAGAACAATAAAAGAGGGTAGCACTCGAGCATTAGTACAAGAGGATGGGGCAACTAAACCAAATACTGGCACCATTCTCCACCAGCAGTGGTAACTTTAGCTGATATCTCACTCGTGATAGTAACTGAGGGTATGTCTACACTACCCTCTTAGTTCGAACTAGCGGAGTAATGTAGGCATACCGCACTTGCAAATGAAGCCTGGGATTTGAATTTCCCGGGCTTCATTTGCATAAACTGGGCGCCGCCATTTTTAAATCCCCGCTCGTTCGAACCCCGTGCCGCGCGGCTACACGCGGCACGGACTAGGTAGTTCGGACTAGGCTTCCTAGTCCGAACTACTGTTACTCCTCATTCCATGAGTAACTAGGAAGCCTAGTCCGAACTACCTAGTCCGTGCCGCGTGTAGCTGCGCGGCACGGGGTTCGAACGAGCAGGGATTTAAAAATGGCGGAGCCCAGTTTATGCAAATGAAGCCCGGGAAATTCAAATCCCGGGCTTCATTTGCAAGTGCGGTATGCCTACATTACCCCGCTAGTTCGAACTAGCGGGGTAGTATAGACATACCCTGAGGCTGCAAGTGAACAGCTCCTGCACTTATTTGGCTGCAGACCAGGGCTACGTGCTGCTAGTCAGTCTGCTGCAATAGCATCTGCTGATGTAATTGCTGACTGGCATAGGGAAGTGTTCCACTGCCATGGAAGAAGTAAGGTAGCCCTCCCAAGAAAATTTTGACATAGGACGGCAGACAACTTTCAGGAAAGTTTACTAGAAGCCTCTATGGAGGATTCATGGGACATCCCAATGCACATAAACAAACTATTCCACAGGGCACTACTCTCTGCCTAGCAACATAGGGGAATAAGAAGCAGATAGCAGCTGTGCCTCTATCAGTTAACTCACTTCGTCTTGTGGCCTGATTAAAACAACAGTATGTGAACAGAAGTGTCTATGCAATATTGAAACAAATTGAGTACTTACCAGAAGTTTCCTCCCTGAATCAGACTCTCCAGTGCTGGACTGCTGGAAGTGGCTCAACTGCTCAGGAGTCAGGTCCTGGCTTGCCATGCTACTGGAACCCCGTTTTCCTGTCCTCTGTACTCTCCTTCCTCATCCAGTGTCCCAGTCCTTTGGTGTTGGCCTATTACTACACCTCCTCTAAAGTATCCACGGGATGCCTGGTGGTAGATGTGGGTTCACTGCTGAGGATGGCATACAGCTCCTTGTAGAAGTGGCACGTCGCACCAGAGCAACTGTTTGCATCCCTTGCATTCTGGTACACCTGCTGCAGCTCCTCAATTTTCACATGGCACTGCTGAGTGTCCCTGTCACAGCTAGGATTATCACCTAGCTTGTATTTGACCAGCCTGGGATTTTTAAGGATTTTCCAGTTGTCAGAAAAATAATTTAATCTTCCAGGGGTTTAAAGATTTGTAATATTATCCCAGTACACTGGGATACCTAACATTAAAAGTTTTTGTATCGAGGTAAAGATGCTGCAGAGTTCCCACTTCCACAGTATAAGTGATAATGAATCAAAACTGTTGAAAACGTATCAGCTGTGTGCCCACCAACACGCAGGCACAATGTGCATGTGTGCCAGAGGGTTTGAGTCCAGAGAGAGATGTGCAATGTTATCAGTCTTATTTG